TCATACCAAATAAAATATTTCATAATCCCACGAAGTTGAGAGTGGGGCAGTCTTTCTTAGTAAAAAAGAAAAAGGAAAAAAGAGAATCAAATTCCCTTGTTTTAGAAATTGAGGCAATGTTTTTAGAATGGATTCCAGAAGTTGTAAATAAATTAACCCCGTTGTCTTAGTTGTTTTCAGCGTTTATGATATCCTTTCTTTCTACCCCTGTCCAAAAGCCACATTACAGTCCAAAAAAAAAAAGCTCCCAGATAATCTTTGAGAGTGTTGAGTTTAGACATGCCAAGAGTATATGATGTTTTTACCATGGTTAATACCTTGTAATCTGCAGAATCAGAGGAAATAAGAAGAAAAGAACAAAATGAGAGAGTTTTATTGGTGAAAACCTTCACAGGCACCATAAGGAGATGGTTAGTTAAGAGAAAGAACAAAATAAGAGAGACTTGATGGTGAAAACCCTTCGGGCACTACAAGTCGAATAAGGATCGTGAATCAGATTAGAAAATCAGAGCATTGAATCCTAGTTTCACGGTTTAGGGGTATAACAAGAGTTGAACATCAGACTTGCTTGACAGATTAGGCTACATGTGTATGTCATGGTCATTAGAGTTGGTATCCTCATCTGATAAGTTTCTACTTTGTAGTTTTCTTGTTAGGAATCCTCTCTTTCCATTGTCCTTTACTCTTTTCCTTTTGTCTTGTTTACTTCCTCTTCCTGAGTCTGTTTGGTTAGAACAAGTGAGAAATGACTTCAAAATATGCCACCAGCTTTCCAATTGCACAAAACGGGATCTAGCTAGCACATCAAAGTGGCATAAGTCAGGAAAGAACAGCGTGCGCACTGAGTTGGTAACAATCAATGTGCTTTGGGATTCATGTGAAATACAAAGGTTTGGTATATGTCAATTCATGAACAATGCAACAGATAGAGGATGTTGGGTGAACGGATCAAAGGTATTTTCTGTGATAAGGTTGACAGAGAAAGTGGTTAACCAATGACAAGCAAGGTCTTCCAAGCGGAAATCAAAGTTATCATGGCATGTGAAGGAGCAATAGACATCAAGGCCAAGGCCAGTGGGTTAAGTCCGGAAAGAACAGCATGCGCACTGAGTAGGTGGGTTGACGTGCTTTGGGATTCATGTGAAACACAAAGGTTCAGTATATGTCGATGCATGAGCACAATGCAACAGATGAATGGTATTCGGTTTGAACGGACCAGAGTTATTTTCCGTGATAAGGGTGATAGAGAAAGTGGTCATTCAATAAACAGGCAAGGTCTTTCGAGTTGAAATCGAAGTTATCATGGGAAGTGAAGGAGCAATCATCCTCAAAGTCAAGGCCGCAAACCAACCACCATGTTTAAACTCACAAGTTTTCTTTATCTTAAATAGGGACGAAGACTATGTCCAAATCAAAGCTTGGAAGCTTGAATTTTTCAAATGTCGTACCCAAATTTTGTCGGTACAAAGGCGATTTGAGAAGGGGAAAGAAATTTTGTTCGATCTGTAGGAACCCTCCATGAGTAAATTATGGTTCAGGGGCAAGGAATTTTGTTCGTTTTGCAGAGATCCTCCAGGAAGATAGCATGGCTCAGGTAAGTTCTTCTCGGCTTTTCAGGACCCTCCTGGATTGTGACGACCCAAAGGGTCATCACTTGCTTTCAGTTGATTTCTATGTCTCCGAGTCCTTGAAAACCTCATTAGAGTTGCCTCGAATTGCCTGCACAGTCCGGGCGCGTAGCCGAAAAGCTTAAATATGAAACTCTAAGAAAAAAAATGCTAAGTTTTGATGTTAAAAGGAATAATCTTGACTTCGGTCAACATTTTGGATAAACGAACCCGGATCCATGATTCAACGGTCCCTGAGGGTTTGTAGGAAAATATAGGACTTGGGCGTATGCCCGGAATCGAATTCCGAGGTCCCAAGCCCAAGAAATGAATTTTTAAGTGAAATTGTTTTCAGAAATTGATTAAGGAAATTTGAAATGAAAACTGATTAGAAAGTAATGGTATCGGGCCCGTATTTTGGTTCCGGCATCCGGTACAGGTCTTATATATGACTTGAGTCATTCTTGTGAAATTTTGTTTAAAACAGACGTCGTTTGACGCGATCCAGACCTTAATTGAGAAATTTGATGTTTAAAAGAGTTTTGAGAAATTTCAGTGATCTCGAGGTTTAATTCGATGCTCGTGATGTTATTTTTGTAATTTGATTACACGAATATATCCGTAGGATGTTTTTGAGGTTGTGTGTATACTTGGGTTGGAGTTTCGAGGGCTCGGGTGAGTTTCAAATAAGTTCTGGGATGCCTTAGGCTTAGAAAGTCAGGTGTTGCAGGTTCAGGAAGCCACAGTCTCTGAACCCTCTAGTGCGGTCTGTGAGAAATTACGTGCAACCACGGAGGGGCCAGCGCGGCTGCAGTCGCATTTGTGCAGTCCGCAGTGGAAGCTGTGCGGCCGCAGTCGCCTTTGTGCGGTCCGCACAGGGTGCTCAACTACAGGTCTTCAGGGAAGGGCCAGCACGGCCGTGGTCGCCTTTATGCGGTCTGCAGTGGAGGCTGGGCGGCCGTAGTCCATTTGATACGGTCCGCACTAGGGGTCTGAGAGGGGTATAAATAAACGGGAATTTCATCTATTTTTCACTTTTCAAAACATCAAAAACATAAGAGGCGATTTTTCAAACAACCTTTCTTCTCCAAAATGTTGGTAAGTGATTTCTAACTCATTTTCTTCACTCCTTAACATCTTTTAATATGATTTCAACTTAATCAAAGATTTTCATAGGGGAAATTGGGTGTTTTGGGTAGAACCTAGGTTTTTCTAAAATTGGGGATTTTGACCTCAATTTGAGGTCTGATTTCAAAACAAATTATAAATTTGGATTCGTGGGGGAATGGGTAATCGGGTTTTGACCACGTGGGCCCAGGGGGAGGGGGTGATTTCTGACTTTTGGGTTAAACTTTAGAAAACTCATTTTCATGCATTAGGGTTGATTCATTTAGCACTTATTGATGTAATTAAGTAACTTGTAACTAGATTCGAGCGGATTGGTGGTGGAATCAAGGAGTAAAGCTATAGTTGAGACTTTAGTGGTAATCAAGGCATCAAGGTAAGTGTTTGGTCTAACCCTAGCTTGAGGGATTAGGAGTTGAGTCATACTTACTTCTTGCTTCTTGTTGAGTACGACGTATAGACATGGTGACGAGTATCTATACGTTGGTGTCAAGCATGACGGTGAGTCTTAAATTGAAAATTGTTGTGTTCTTAAATGACACTTGGGTGCTTTACTTAGTGATCTTCGATGATTGAGCATTTTCAATAATTGAACTGAGTAAAAGTTGAGTTGAGATTGGCTATAGCTGATTCTCTCTTGCCGGGATGACTAATTTAATATTGATGTGTTCCCTTGCTGGAAGTTATTATATTATTTATATTCCCTTGCCGGGATTTCTTGTGATTGTGTGATGAAATGTTAAAGGGACCGGGTGGTTCACCTACCACAAGATATAATGAAATGGGAGCGGGTGGTACGCCTACCACAAGATATAATGAAATGGGAGCGGGTGGTACGCCTACCACAAGATATAACGAAATGGGAGTGGGTGGTACGCCTACCACATGATATAATGAAATGGGAGTGGGTGGTACGCCTACCACGAGATATGATAAAATGGGAGCGGGTTGTACGCCTACCACAAGATATACTGAAATGGGAGCGGGTGGTACGCCTACCACAAGATATGAGAAATGGGATCGGGTTGCACACCTGCAACAAGATGAAACTGAAAGTGAAAGTTGCTTTATTTCTCTTTATCTGTGTTAGAAGTTAAATTGTAGTTTCCTTACTATTATTTGATATTCTGTTTTATCTGCTGCGTCCGAAGCATGTTTCCCCTTTCCCAGCTTTGATTGCTTATTACCTGTTTACTTTTCTGCCATATAGTATATAACTGCACAGGTTTATCTGGAGTCTGGTCCTAGCCTCGTCACTACCTCGCCGGGGTTAGGCCAGACACTTACTAACACATGGGGTCGATTGTGCTGATACTACACTCTGTGCTCTTTTTCACAGATCCAGGTCTTGGACAGCAGCAGTAGCGCGGGAGCCAGCTTTCAATCCAGTGAGACACTGAGGTAGCCTTGGAAGCGTCCGCAGGCCCGGCGTCTCCTCTATCTTTATTTCAGTCTGTTATCTCATGTATTCGAGACAAACAGTTTTTATTTTTCTTTCAAACGGTTGTATTTAGTACTCGTAGAAGTTCGTGAGTAATGTGACACCAGTTCTTAGGTAGAGGCATATATTGATTTTCGTATTATTATTCAGTTTCTTTAATTTAAGTCTTCCGTATATTCATTAAATTCCGTTGTTTTCATGCTATCACTGATAATCGCACTATAGCAAAAAAGGTCTTTAGCGGCACTTATTTAATAGCAATAACTTAATTGTTGTTAAATTATTTAGTGAAAGCAAAACATTAGCGGCTAATAAATATTTGTCAGCAAAAAGTATATTTTTTGCGGTGATTCAGGACAATTAGTCTGCTAAGCTTTTATTTTTGCCTTTTCTTTTCCCTCCATTTTTCCCCCCTCTAAATCTTCTCCCGCCTAAATATTATATCACTTCTCTGAGTTGCCCAAAAAAAGAAAAATATACGCCTCTAAGAATTAGGTCTCATTCTTAAAAAAGCTTTTACAATTTTCCTGGTGTAAGAAAACCTCCGCCTCTAGTAACCAAAATTTTCGCCAATTGAAAGGTATGGTTTCTATCTATTTTTCTATACTTTTATATCTTTCTCTTAATTTCTCTTTATACACCTCTATCTCTATCTCTATCTTTTAGGATATTGTCAGACTGATTCATGTTCTTGAAGTGAAGGATGAAACTTTATCTATTGATAATTATAACTTTAATTTGGTTTGCACTTTTTGCTTACTGAGATATTTATTTTTGTGCTATATGTCTGGATTCTATGGTGCTACTTCTCCCACCCAATTATTTTATACATATTAACTTCTCAAAAATTCAAATATCAAATTAAACTTCAGGTTGAACACTTTTTTATCATTCTGATGTGTCAATAGTGAAATTTAATGGTGAAAAAAATCTGAAATTTCATTCCATGGAATTCATATGGTAATTAAAGATTCTTTAAAAAACAGTATTGGGTAGTTAGGTTTTCCACAGTTTGATAGTGTTATTTAGTTTTCATGAATTCGTTTGTATATGCGGCTTATTAGGTGTTTAATTGGTGTTGATTCATTGAGCAAAACTGCATTATAATGAATTTTAGTTATAGCTTGCGAGCGATCGTCTTAGGTGTTTCTTAATGATTATGCATCTGTGAAGTCGTTTTTGAGCCAGCTGAATATGCACATTAAGAGTACAAAAAAACTAGAAACTGGTATTCTAATACCAAATAATAGTTTAATGTGCATTTCTTACTGTTTTTAATTTATTCCCAATCCTTAATTTTATTGTTGAAATGACTTCTTTGAGCTATATAATCATGTTAATATCTCATCTATAACTACATTTTTTCTAGAACTACCATTTAGGTTATTTTCTCTTTTGTACTAAATTATTTTTAGTTATTATTGTAATTGCAGAAAAGTAAAAAAATCCTTAAACAGTCATGGACAAGCCTAGAAGTAAGAAATGGATGTATTATGATAGAGTCAGTAAAGAATATTTGGATGGAGTAGAGAACATTCTAAACTATGCCTTTCGTGAAAGAGAAACAATTTCATGTCCTTGTTCACAATGTGTCCTATACTATCAAGTAAATCGGGCAACTGCATATGATCATCTTGTGGTTAATGGTGTTATGCCATCACATGATACTTTATTTTGTCATGGGGAGTCTCTAAATGAATCAAATAGTACTCATGTAAATAATTACAGACAATTAACTATAAGGGGTGATGATATGAGAGGAATGATACATGATGCTTTACCCAGTCTATGGATAGTGATATTAGTGAAAGGGGTGAGATGGAGCCAAACTCAGAAGAAAATAATACTAATCCATCTATAAATCAATCTCATCCAGAGGTGGATAAGTTTGAACAACTCTTGAAGGATTCAAATGAAGAACTATATCCTGGATGCAAGAAGTTTAATAAACTGTCATTTCTACAGCATCTCTACAATATGAAACGGTCGTTCAAATGGACAAATGAATCTTTTAATGCTTTGTTTGGACTATTAAAAGATGCACTGCCTGAGGGTGAAAAGTTGCATCCTTCTTTCTGTGAGACTAAAAAGATACTTGAAGTGTTGGGCTTAAAGTACAAAAAAATGCATGCTTGTCCCAATGATTGCATGCTTTTTAAGAATGAATTTGCCAGTAAGAATGTTAATAAATGCTTAATTTGTGGGGCTTCTAGATGGAAAAAATTGATAGAAAAATCTCAGCCAAAGTCCTAAGGTATTTTCCTTTAAAACCAAGGTTACAAAGATTATTTATGTCTTCAGAAACTTCTAAGATTATGCGGTGGCATCATGAAGAACGCAACAAAGATGGAGTTTTACGACATCCTGCAGATTCTAAAGCTTGGAAAAGTTTCGATAATAAATATCCAAAATTCGCTAGAGATGCCCGTAATATTCGTCTAGGATTAGCTTCTGATGGATTTAATCCATTTGGTACAATGCGAACTGTTCATAGTACATGGCCAGTGATTATAATGCCATATAATCTCCCACCTTGGATGTGCATGAAAGAAGAGTTTTTTATTTTTTCATTACTTATTCCTGGACCAAAAGGGCCTGGCAATAACATTGATGTCTTTCTGGAACCTTTAATAGAAGAGTTAATCGAATTATGGGATGTCGGGGTAGAAACATATGATGCCTTTGCTAAGGAGACATTTAAAATGCGAGCAGCTCTCATGTGGACTATAAATGATTTTTTAGCATATGGTAATCTCTCTGGATGGTGCACTTATAGTAAATTTGCATGCCCTTCTTGTAACATAAACACTGAATCTAGAAGACTCAAACATGGAAAATAATTTGTTATATGGGCCATCGACGTTTCTTGAAGCCTGGGCACAAATATCGAAATGATACAAAGTCGTTTGATGGGACTAAAGAATCAAGACCTGCACCTTATCCAGTATTTGGATTACTAGTTCTAAATCAAGTTAGAGATATAAAGTTCACTCTCAGTCAATCAAGTGAAGATGTAAGCGGGGTGATGAAAAACACATGGAAAAAGAGAAGTATTTTTTTCAATCTTCCTTATTGGGAGTATAACTTGGTGCATCATAATCTTGATGTGATGCACATAGAAAAGAATGTATGTGATAACTTAATTTATACATTATTGGGTCTTGGTAAAAAGTCAAAAGATAACGTAGAAGCTCGATTGCACTTGAAGGAGATGAAAATAAGACCAAGCCTATGGCCTCAAACTCGAGCTAGTGGGAGTACATACCTTCCTGCTACTTTTTTCACAATGTCTCCAACAGAAAAAGAGTTATTTTATGAAGTACTGCAAAACGCCAAGTTTCCACATGGCCATGCGTCTAATATCTCACGTTGCATTCGCAAACGAAAAATATCGGGGCTAAAATCTCATGATTGTCATGTTATAATGCAAGAACTTCTTCCTCTTGCATTGCGAAGGTCAACAGATAAAAGAGTCAGTTCTGTTTTAATTGAACTATGCACATTTTTTCGGGTTCTTTGTAGCAAAGTGCTTAAAATAGAAGAGTTAGAGTTACTTGAAGAAAAAATTGCAGTAACATTGTCTAATATGGAAAAACTCTTCCTCCCGTCATTCTTTACTATTATGGTACACTTGGTCATTCACTTGGCAACTGAGGCTAAACTTGCGGGGCCAGCATTATCGTTGGATGTACCCAATTGAGAGGTATGAAGAATATCATTAAATTATTATTGTATATCTTAAGTTTTTATTAACTATAAAAATATTAGATTAATAAATTAATTTATTCTACAGATACTTGTGTACTTTAAAATCATATGTTCGTAATCGTGCAAACCCAGAAGGTTCAATAGCAGAAGCATATATCGCAAATAAGTGCATGACATTTTGCTCGCGATATTTGGAGGGTGGAGATTTACGGTCTTATTGGTAAAAACAAAAGTGATGTTGAGATTGAGCATGAGACTAATAGAGAAGGATGTCTTTTCCCTACTGTTGGGGAGCCATATGGTCAAGTAGATGTATTTGAGTTGGATGAGAAAACATGGTTGCAAGCACATCGACATGTGCTTTTCAATTGTGAATCAGATGTGGTTGAGAATTACAAAAAGTAAGTGGTAATCTATTATTAATTAAATATTTATATATTACCTTATTTGATAGCAAAATTAATATATGTGACTTACATAAATAGGGAACATATTGCTGAAATCAAGAGATTACATCGTAAGCGTCGTCTTATACAACATCAACTCGATCGGTTGCATTTTGATACATTTCATGAGTGGTTCAAGGAAAAAGTGAGTAGCTGGATTAAGTCATTAGCAATTTTAAATTATTGTGCATGTACTTATATCAATATTAATAGTTGTGTATTTCTATTTGTCTATTTGACTAGGTGAATGAGTTGGATATCCAATAAAATATATCAAAGGATGTTAAGGTCCTTACGAAAGGGCCAAGTCGCATTGCAAGAAGATTCAAGGCGTTCAATGTAATTAATGGATATCGATTTCGAACGAAACAAAGTGAAGAGTTCATGGTGACACAAAATAGTGGTGTTATGGTCGTTTCAAAAATTGAAAGTTATGCAAGTACTGTCACGACCCTAACCTCGGTCGTGATGACGCCTAACACACTGCTAGGCAAGCCTGACCAACTAACAACCTCGTCCCATTTCTTATACAATTCATTATTAGCTAACACAGTTAAATTGCCAATTTATCATAATAAAAGTTTAGGACAACGAGTCAAATATGCGGAAATTCAGATGATAATACCACTACATAACCCATATAGATCTGGTGTCACAAGTTTCGAGCCTCTAGTACAAGTTTAATAGCCTAATACATAATCAGTTTAGGAAATGCGGATAAAACGAAAGGATAGAAAGGAGAGATCCGGGTTGCGGACGCCGTGCAGCTACCTCGATGCTTTCGGATATGAACTGATCGACTAAATATCCTCACTCAGCCTCTGGAACACCTGGATCTGCACGCAAGGTGCAAGGTGTAATGTGAGTACTCCGACCCAGTGAGTAATAAGCATAAATAATGACTGAGAATAAGAAATCACGGAAATCATAGAGTAATCTATAATGCGGCAGTTTAAACAAGTAATATGAAAGCAATAAACTAATGGAAATGAAATATGGAGATGCTACAACAAATAAGCAGTTAAGTGACATACATATAACGAAAATCAACACATAGAACAGTACCCTATAGTACCCGTTGCGGCGTGCAGCTCGATCCGTATATTTATCGTCGCTAGCGCTCACTAGGGGTGTGCAGACTCCGGGAGCGCAATATCAAGCCATCTCGTGGCATCAACTAGGCCCTCGGCCTCATATCAATATCAACATAATACTGCTGCGGTGCGCAGCCCGATCCCATAGTATCCTCACATCTGGCCCTTGGCCATACTCAGTCCAAAAATCATATAAGCCTCTCGGGCATTTAGTAAAACAGTAGTTCTCAGTCCAAAACATCATTTAATATATCTTCTTAGTTTCAAAAACCGAGTAAAAGTGGCTGAGTTATAAAACAGTGGAAAACGGTACGACTGAGTTCAAGTAGTAAGTCTAAACAGTGAGGAAATAGTGATAAAATTCCCCGGAGGGTTCAAATAGTTGGCACGAAGCCCAAATATGGCAATCAATCCAAATAATGAGGATAACAAATAAGCTTTAATCAAATACGCGGTAAAAACGTCACTCAAGACGGACCAAGTCAAAATTCCCAATAGTAAACGACCCCACTCTCATTATCAAGCGCTTGTCTCACCTCAATATAGCACTACGATGTGTAAATTCGGGGTTTTAAACCTTGAGGACATCATTTGCATTCATTACTCACCTCGAACCGGCTAAAGCTCTAGCTCACTATGACCTTGCCTCTCAAATTAGCCTCCTCGCGCGTCGAATCTGACCAAAACTAGAACGAATACGTCATAATATGTTAAGGGAACAAAGCCCAAGCGAAAACAATCGAAAAATGTCAAAAATCTCAAAATTGGCAAAACCCGAGCTCCGGGACCACTACTCGAAACTCAAAAAATTTCACATCATTAGATTCCTTATCTCCCGACGAGTTCATACATATCAAAAACACCAGAATCGGAGTTCAATTGACCCCTCAAATCCTTAATTTAAGCCCTCTTAAACTCAAGCCCTAAACCTCCATTTTTAGTCCATTAATTCCTTAAATTTCAGTCCTAATTCATGAAATACCACCATAGAAGTGTGTTTTAAGTCCAAAATCCTTACCTTATCGAAGTTCCCTTGAAATCTCTCTTCAATGTTGCCCAAAAACTCTAAGTCCGAAGTTAAAAATGGTTAAACCCTTTAAAAATCGCGAAGAAGAGGCATATATACATTCTGCCCAGGGGTTTTCGCATCTGCGACCCCTTTACCGCACCTGCGGTACCGCATTTGCAGTCCAATCAGCCGCTTCTGCGGTTTCTCATTAAAATTCCAAAAGTCGCTTCTGCGACTGGACTTCCGCATCTTCGGCTTCGCAGATGCGGCCACTTCGACCGCTTCTGCGGAAACTGTTCCCCAACCCAAACTTCGCATCTGCGGCTTTTCCCCTTGCATGTGCGGCACTGCACCTGCGGTTCCCAAGCCGCAGGTGCGGAAACACTAGAAGCAGCACACTTTCTGCAATCATTCAAGTTCAAATCTTCCCGTTAACCGTCCGAAATCACCCCGAGGCCCCCGGGACCTCAACTAAAAACACAAACAAGACCCAATACCTTATTCAAACTTGTTCCAATCATCAAAACACCTCAAACAACACCAAATCTACTAAATCACATCAAATTCAGGCCTAATTTTCTAAAATCTTCCAAAATACGTTTTCGATCAAAAACCTAACCAAAACACGTCCGAATGACCTGAAATTTTGCACACACATCCCAAATGACATAATGAAGCTACTACAACTCTCGGAATTCCATTCCGACCCTCGGATCAAAATCTCACCTACCAACCGGAAATCGCCAAAATACTAACTTCGACAATTCAAGCCTAATTCTATATCGAACCTCCAAAACCAATTTCGATCACACTCCTAAGTCCTAAATCACCTCCCGGAGCTAACCGAACCATCGAAACTCACATCCGAGCCCTCTAACTCATAAGTCAACATCTGATTGACTTTTCCAACTTAAGCCTTCTTAAAAGAGACTAAGTGTCTCATTTCTTACCAAAATCACACCAAACGCAAACCAATCAACTCGACCACATAAAACACAGATAACGAAGCATACAGAAGCAAAAATGGGGAAAATGGAGTGGTAACTTATGGCCTGGTCGTCACATCCTCCCCAACTTAAACAAACGTTCGTCCTTGAACGAGTCAAGAAACATACCTGAAGCCTCAAACAGGTGAGGATATCTGCTCCGCATCTCCGGCTCGGTCTCCCAGGTAGCCTCCTCCATGGGCCGACCTCTCCACTGTACCTTCACTGAAGTTATAACCTTTGATCTCAACTTTCGAACCTGACGACCCAAAATAGCTACTAGCTCCACATCAAAGGTCAAATCATCATCCAACTGAACCGTGCTGAAGTCCAAAACATGAGATGGGTCTCCAACATACTTCCGGAGCATAGAAACATGAAATACCGGATGCACACTCGACAAGCTAGATGGCAAAGCAAGCATATAAGCCACCTCCCCAATCCTCCTGAGTACCTCAAAAGGCCCAATGAACCGCTGACTCAACTTCCCTTTCTTTCCAAATCTCATAACACCCTTCATGGGCGAAACCTTCAGCAAGACCTTCTCACCAACCATGTAGGATACATCTCGAACCTTCCGGTCCGCATAACTCTTCTGACGTGACTGCGTTGTACGACGCCTCTCCTAAATCACCTTTACCTTCTCTAAGGCATCCTGAACCAAATCTGACCCCAATAGCCTAGACTCGCTGGGCTCGAACCAACCAACTGGAGATCTACACCGCCTCCCATACAAAGCCTCATACGGAGCCATTTGAATACTCGACTGGTAGCTATTGTTGTAGGCAAACTCTACAAGCGGTAGAAACTTATCCCATGAACCTCCAAAATCAATAACACAAGCACGCAACATGTCCTCCAATATCTGAATAGTACGCTCGGACTGCCCGTCCGTCTGAGGATGAAAAGTTGTGCTCAACTCCACCTGAGTACCCAACTCTCGTTGAACAGACTTTCAAAAGTGGGAAGTAAACTGAGTACCCCTATCTGAGATGATGGAAACTGGAACACCATGCAACCGAACAATCTCCCGGATATATATCTCTACTAACCACTCTGAAGAATAAGTAGCACACACAGGAATGAAGTGCGCGGACTTGGTCAGCCATTCCAAAATCACCCAAATAGCATCAAACTTCTTCAAAGTCCGAGGAAGTCCGACCACAAAGTCCATAGTGATCCTCTCCCACTTCCACTCGGGAATAACCATCTGCTGAAGCAAGCCACCCGGTCACTGATGCTTATATTTCACCTGCTGACAATTGAGACATCGAGCTACAAATCCCACAATAGATTTCTTCATTCTTCTCCACCAATAGTGCTATCTCAAATCCTGATACATCTTCGCGGCACCCGGATGAATGGAATACCGCAAGCTCTGGGCCTCCTCCAGAATCAACTCTCTAAGCCCATCCACATTGGGCACACAAATCCATCCCTGCGTCCTCAACACACCACCATCACTGATGGTCGCATCTCTAGCATCATCATGTTGAACTCTGTCCTTAAGGACAAGCAAATGCGGATCATCATACTGGTGTTCTTTGATGCGATCATATAAGGAAGACCGAGAAACCACACAAGCTAACACCCGACTAGGCTTCGAAATATCCAACCTCACGAACCGATTGGCCAAGACCTGAACATCAACTGCAAGGGGTTTCTCCCCAACTGGAATATACGCCAAACTTCCCATACTCACTGCCTTTCGGCTCAAAGTATCGGCCACTACATTGGCCTTTCCCATATGATATAGAATAGTAATATCATAATCCTTAAGCAACTCTAGCCATCTCCACTGCCTAAAATTAAGATCCTACTGCTTGAACAAATGCTGAAGACTGCGATGATCAGTGAATACCTCACAAGATACGCCATACAAGTAATGCCTCCAAATCTTCAATGCATGAACTATGGCAGCCAATTCCAAATCATAAACAGGGTAGTTCTTCTCATAGGGCTTCAACTGACGAGAAGCATAATTGATAACTCTATTCTTCTGCATCAATACACAACCAATCCCAACTCTATAATCATCACAATATACGATATATGAACCAGAAGTTAATGGCAAAACCAATACTACAACTGTGGTCAAAGCTGTCTTGAGCTTCCGAAAGCTCTCCTCACACTCGTCCGACCATACAAATGGAGTACCCTTCTGAGTCAACTTGGTCAAGGGCGATGCAATGGATAAGAATCCCTGAACAAACCGGCGATAATAGCCTACCAACCCAAGAAAGCTACGAATCTCTATGGCTGAGGACAGTCTAGGCCAACTCTGAACCGCCTCTATCTTCTTCGGATCAACCTGAATACCCTCGTTGGACACCACGTGTCCCAAGAAAGCCACTAAATTGAGCCAAAACTCACACTTGGAGAATTTTGCATAAAGTTTCTCCTCCCTCAATCTCTGCAATACAACTCGCAAATGCTCTGCATGCTCCTCCTGACTACGCGAGTACACCAGAATATCATCAATGAATACAATAACTAACGAATCCAGATAAGGTCAAAATACACTGTTCATCAAATGCATGAACGCTACTGGGGCATTGGTCAGCCTGAAACACATGACAAGAAACTCATAGTGACCATATGTAGTCCTGAAAGCAGTCTTAAGAATATCTGAATCCCTAATCTTTAACTGGTGATACCCCGAACGGAGATCAATCTTAGAGAACACCCTCGCTCCCTGAAGCTGGTCAAATAAATCGTCAATGCGAGGCAAAGGATACTTGTTCTTAATTGTTACCTTGTTCAATTGTCTATAATCAATGCACATTTT